GGCACCTCCTCTGTCCCAGCCTTGGTAGGGCCGCCAGGCACACCCAGGTGCCGAGACCACCAGGCCTGAGGAGCAGGAAGCCAGTGTCCCTGCAGCCCCGGCAGCCCCCATCCTGCCCCGCCCCATCGCCCTCCCTCCACGGCCCACCTCATTTTCTGTTCTCATTTTGCAGAGTTGCACAAGGAGAGAACTCAGCATGGGGGGTTGGTTCTTTGGGTTTCGTTTTTTTGTTTGTTTAATTTAATGATTTGTAAAGTGATGTTCCTATTCCTTTTTTTATACTTTTCAGCTCATATTTAACATCTGTTTGGAAAATGATTCTTGTAACTGTACATTTTTTGGCCTCCTGATAATAACAACAACAAAAATAAATTACCAATTTTGTGTTGGGGGGCTGTATGGGGCCAGTTATTTCTCCGTAGATGGCATGGAATGACTAGCATTCCCACGGGGACACCAGCACACCCACCCCCAGCACACTGGGCACAAACAGAGCCCCAGAGGGACCCGCCCACCGAGAGGCAGGCACGTGCTCACACGGGGGACACAATGGCACCTCACAAAACTCCTGTATGTGTGTGTTGGCTCTTGCCTTGCCTCCTTCTCACTCTCTTTTCAGATTTGCATGTTGTCCCAGCTTTCAGCTCGTGGCTGCTGAGTGGAGCTTAGCAGGTCTGTTTTAGGAACTGCCCAGGACTTGGATCATCATGGCCGGAGGCTGGGTTCTGGGCCCTGGTTTGTGAGGGGACTGAGCCTCTGTTTCCTTATGACACACTCAGCCCTCTGCCCCCTCTGTCTCCAAATGCAAGACCTCACCTGCAGCCACGCTTAGGCAGGAGGCTCATCCCTGTCCCCACCCCACTCCCAGTCCTTACCTTGCAGCCAGCTAACTGTCCTCCAGGGGGCAGTGCTGGGCCTGCAGAGCCTGGATGGCTGCCCCTCCCCTGCCTTGTCTGTTGCTGTCAGTGCTACTGGTTTCCTGGGACAGACCATATCCTCACTCCTGCCCAATTGTTGCCTCCCCCCGCACCTTGTCAGAGCCTCCTGGAGGACACTGGCCAGTCCTCCGCCGCACTGCCCGCAGCTGCTGCCTCAGAGCCTTGCGGGGCCTGCCCACTGAAATCAGAGGCCATCTTGACCCAGTTTTACAGTAAGCCCCGCCTCTCCCCTGCTCCACCTCCTTCAGCCGCCCCTTCACCCTGGAAAATGGAGCAGGCCCCTGCAGAAAACCCCATGCTTCTCACCCTTGCTGCTGCAGGGAGAGGAGCCACCTTTTTCCTTCCTTCTGGAAGCTGTAGCGCCAGCAGTGAGGCTCGCCGGGTACCTTCCCTGTTGGACCCAACCTGCCCTGCCCCTCACTCTTCGTTTGAGCCCAGGGCTTCCTCGTGGAGGCACTTTCTAATCATCAGAGCTATTAGAGAAAAATGCCCTGCCTGAGAGGAAGGTCCCCGTCACCAGGAGAGCTTCAGGAAAGATTGCAGCGACTGGAGCTAAATGATTTCAGGGTGCCTTCCAACTCCTGAGGAATACGACATGCCCCTGGTTAAGGAGGTTGAAGCTGGGGCCAGGCTCTGTCCCTGGCCACTTCCTGGCTGCAGGGGTGGCATGGTTTGCCCTTGGCTGGGAGCCTGGGGAAGCGGCAACAGTCTTTCCATCCACGGAGCTGGAAGGGGGACACTTGGCTGCTCAGCCTTCCTCAGGTCCTGTCATCCTCTGACAACGGACAAGGTTTGAGCTGTTTCCCAGCAAGCTAGCGTCATCCTACGACTGTGCCTTGTGGATTGTTTCTAGCTGCCATGGAGTTGGCTCCCAGCTCATGCAACCCCAAGCACAGTGGAAGAAAACGCTGCCCTATCCTGCGCCATCCCCAAGACCAGATGTGGCTCAGACCATTGTGATCCATAAGGTTTTCATTGGCTGATTTTCAGAAGGAGATCACCAGGCCTTTCTTCCTAGTCTGGAAGCTCCACTGAAACCTGTTCAGCATCACAGCAACACTCAAGCCTCCACTGACAGAGCATGAGGTGAATTGGCCAGAAATCGAACCCAGGTCTTCCGCATAGAAGGCAAGAATTCTACCACTGAACCAACACGGCCCCCATGCCACCTAACATGACTTAAAGAACATGTGAAAGCTGAATGGAGAACAGACCATGAGTATATGTAAATCATGTTTGGGGCCCGCTGGACTGCCAAGACCTTGAGTGTGAGCCTATCCTGGCCAAGCCTGCTCCGTAGTACTAGAGAATTGAATTCCCAAAGGGAAAGAAGGAAGAAAAGATGCCAGGCATCTTGCCAGAGGCTTTATATATCTTGTCTCATTTAATGATTTCAGTCCTCTGTGAAGGAGGGATTATTCTTGTACAGATGAGGAAACCGAGGCTGAGGGCTCAGTAACTTAGTTCAGGTCCTGTGATAAGTGGGGTTCAGTAAGGCGATTCTCCAAAGTGCATGTGATTCCCTCTGAGCTGAGGTGGGGGCTCAGTGGATTCAACCACACGCCCAGCCCTAGCATCAGGGTCTAAGGGCTGGTTGAGTCTGCCCGGAGGAGGTGGGTGCGTGTCAGCATGGCCACTGAGTATCCCAGCTCAAGGACACTGCCCACCACCGTACCACCCTGCCCCCCGCCCAAGTTTGGGCCCAAACAACCATCAGACCCCTAAACAACAAACCTCACATTGTTCCCCCAGCTGGCCCAGGCTGGAAGGACAGTGGCTCTTTCCCAAAGCCCGGCTGGCCAGCTGACTAATTCTGCAAGCCATTCACGTTGGCAGGCCCGGAGGCCATGGCAGTGGCCGGGACTCGGAGCCACCATCTATCCCCAGAAGCTCTGAGCTGGCCAACCAGCATGGCAGGGGATGTCCTTTGTGGAAGAGGCTCCCAAAGCAGGATGTTGAGACGGCCCCCTCCCCATCCCTGTGCCTTCCATCCTTAGCTCTCCCTGTCCCAAGCTTCACCTCAGTTCACCCGGCCTCACTTCTGACATCCCTTCAGGACTGAGGGGTGGGTAAAGAGGGGGTTGTTGGGAAAATGAGGAGGAAACAGCTTTCCTCCTTTACTGTTAAGTCTGCCTTTGGACCCCTCTCCAGCCTGCTCCCCCCACCCCTCTCCAGCCTGCTCCCCCAACCCTCTCCAGCCTGCTCCCCCCACCCCTCTCCAGCCTTCTCCCCCCACCCCTCTTCAGCTTTCTCCCCCCACCTCTCTCCAGCCTGCTCCCCCAACCCTCTCCAGCCTGCTCCCCCCACCCCTCTCCAGCCTTCTCCCCCCACCCCTCTCCAGCCTTCTCCCCCCACCCCTCTTCAGCTTTCTCCCCCCACCTCTCTCCAGCCTGCTCCCCCCACCCCTCTCCAGCCTGCTGCCCCAACCCATCTTAAGTTTCTGCAGACAAAGCTAGGGGTTTCAGTCACCACCGTGGCAACAAGTCTGCTGAGAGATGGGTGGGTGTCATTCCCGGCACAAAGAGTGTACGCATGGCAGCGCCATCACCTAGCAACGCCTCCCTCTCTCTTGGCGTCCCGGCCCTGGGGGTGGATGCTAGTGAGAGAGAACAAGGCCGTTAAGATCCCCAGGAGGAGGAGAGGGGGGAGACTGTGGCATGGGGCACGCTGAGGCCAAGGGGTGTGGGTGGGTGGACAGAGGAAAACGGAGCCCGGGGTACTCGGAAACTCCTGCCCCCTCACACCCCCTCAGGACTCTTCCTGAGGCCCCCTGCGGATGTCCTAGGTAGGCCTGGTGGGTTAAATCTGCGGGCTGGGCCCCAGAGCTGAGCTTCAGACAGAGAGGTGTTGTTCTGAAGAAAGCTGCCCTTGTCGGTGGCAGGGAGTGACTGGGGCATAGCCTGAGCATCACTTCTGGTCAACCTTGTGTCAGCTTCTCAGAGAACAAGCAGGGCAAAGGATGCCCTTTGGAAGGACCCTGAGAGGTGGCGCTGGGGGAGGTGGTCTCCAAGGGTGGGAGACTAGCAGGAGACACTGAGGTCTTGCTGGTGGTGGGATGATGCTCTGGCAGGAAGGGCGGCGTGGTGGGGGCGGAGTGGGGGCAGGCAGGGGACAGGCAGCTGGGCTGTCTACAGGCAAAACAGTCCGTTCTAAGAAACTGAACAAGAGCAGCTCTGAGAGTCAGTGGGGCTGGGAAGCCCCGGGGCTCAAGAGGGGAGGCCATTGGATCCTTTCCAGTGGGTGCTCTGTGGAGGGAGGGTGAAGGAGAGGTGGGGCTCCAGAGGGAATAAGTCTGCAGCCTTCTGCCTTCCCAGGGACCACTGGGCTTAGGCCAGGATGAAGACTTGGTCCCGCAAGCTCCCCAAGCCCTCCATCCTCTCTGTCCGTCAAAAGCCATAAAGCCCTAAGAGCCCAAATGGCCACTGGGCTGTTCCGACATCAGCCCCAGGCCAGGAAGGGCCAAAGGTGATCAGGAGGAATTCCCCAGGGCACTGCCCCGCCCCAGGGAAGGCCCTGGAGCATCTGGGCCCTGCCAGGATATGGCACAAGAAAATCTAGTGTTCTACCTAATTTATTGTTTTTCAAGAAGGGCCATCTATAGGGAAGTGCCTAACAGGGGAGGTTGGACAGGGCAACCCAGGGTACCTCAAAGAGAGGAGGAAGGAGAGAGAAATCCTCCAGAAGGAGAGGAGGTGCCAGTAGGAGGAGGCATCCAGGGCTAGGACAGATCCAGTCCAGAGAAGAGGGTGCCAAGCCAAGTTGGGCTGGCCCCCAAACAGCCCCCTATTCCAGGATGTGGCCTCTTGGCAGAGGGTACAGAGAGGGTGCTTGGCAAGGGCACAACTAAAATAGAGTCAAGGTCCAAGCCAGAGAGAGAGAGAAACAGAGATGGAAGCAAGAGAGAGTAGGTGATGGTCAAATTCTGACTCCCAGCAGGTGGGACTAAGAGTTTCTGGGAAGTTCTAAGGACCTAGAAGCATCATTGTCCACCGGTTGAAAGCGCAGGGCTGGGAGGCCCTGCAGAGCAACAAAGAAGACCCTGCTTAGGGAGGGGGCTTTGACATGCCCAAACCTTGACAAGAGGAACCAAGTTCATCTCTAGACAACAAAACGGGCAGAAAAGCAGGACCTATCAGGAAAGAAACACCAGGCACAAGCTGGCAGTTGCACCCCTCCCCGCCCCACTCTGCCCCTGCTCCATGCCTCCCAGCTCAGGCCTGGTCTCAGCACGGTGTGCCCAGAGGCAGGAGCGGGGGGGACTCCCTGGGCTTGTGGAAGTAGATGGAGGAGGACATCTCGGTCTTGAGCTTGTTGGCCGAGCCGTTGGCGGCCGTGGCCTCCGTGGCCCCACACTCCTCACAGCAACAGCAGCAGCAGCAGTCCAGGAAGGCCTGGCCCAGCGGCCTGCAGATGCACAGGAGGAGCACCGGGGTGATGGCTCCCTTAAAGAAGGCAGAGAACTGGTTGATGAGGCCCAGAAGGTCCAGGGTCTGGCGGGTCAGCTCAGTGGAGAGGTAGGCCACCACAACGTTGCAGACGTTCTCAGGGAGGGTGCAGAGGGCGTAGACCACCGTCAGGCCCACCACGGTGCTGTTAAGCTGGCTCTCGCACTGCTCGTGCTTGCCCGCCCGGCACTCCGGCTTCCTCCCCGGAGGGCCCCGCACCCGCCACGTCACCAGCTGGCAGGTGACGGTGAAGAGGATGGGCAGACAGAAGTAGCAGCCAAAGTACCACCACATGCGGGCGTTCTGGTAGGTCATCACCAGCGAGTAGAGGGACTCCGGCAGGCTGGCCGAGGGCTTCATGATGCAAGAGTCCACGGTGCCCGAGGTGGGGGCGGGCTCCTGTGCCAGCTGCCACAGCAGGAGCTCGGGCACGGCCAGCGTCATGGAACCCACCCAGATGACAGCCAGCTTGGCCAGAATCGACTGGCACCGCTCGATGGGCCTCACCTTGGGCAGGGTGCTGGTGGCCACGTGGAAGCGGTCAATGCCCAGGGCACAGAGGCTGAAGGTCGTGACTCCCAGAGAGGAGACCTGTGGGCAGGATGTGGGGGAGACAAAAGCTTTTGATCAAAACCCACAGGGACATGGGGAGCAGGACTCAACTTCTAGTAAAATGACCAGACTTCATGGTTTGACTGAGACTGGAGGGATCCTGGAAGACATGGCTCCTGGACTCTCTGTCAGCCCAAAACTAAAACCATTCTCAAGGCCAGCTCTTCAGACAAAGATTAGACTGGACTATGGGACATAAAATGATACTCATGAGGAGTGTGCCTCTTAGCTCAAGTAGATACATGAGACTAAATGGGCAGCTCCTGTCTGGAGGTGAGATGAGAAGGCAGAGAGAGTTAGGAGCTGGTTGAATGGACACGGAGAATCAGGGGTGGAAAGGAGGAGTGTGCTGTCACAGTATAGGGAGAGCAACTAGGATCACAAAACAAAGTATGTATAAATTTTTGTATGAGAGACTACCTTGAATTGTAAACTTTCACTTAAAGCACAACAATAAAAAAAAGAAAAAGAAAAAAAAAACCCCACAGGGACAAGGGAAGATGCCCTGGTTTCTGGCTTAGTCAGATCAAGAATTTAGTAATAAGTGTAGAAATAATATTAATAACAACAACTACCATTTAGTGAGCATTTGCTATATGCCAAAGTTCCCTGAGCAGCACAAACAATTTACCCTCAACTATGGTGCAGTGGTTAAGAGATACCAAAAAGGTCGGCAGTTCGAATCCACAGCTGCTCCTATGGGGCAGTTCTACTCTGTACTACAGGGTCACTATGAGTCAGAATCTACTTGATGGCAACAGGTTTGGTTTTTTGTTTTTTTTTTTTTTGGAACCTAAAGGTTGGTGACTCTAACCCACCCAGCTGCACCACAAAAGAAAGGCCTGGCAATCTCCTTCCACAAAGATTACGGCCAAGAAAACCCTATGGAGCAGTTCTACTCTGTCACATGTGGGGTGGCCATGAGTAGGAATCAACTCAACAGCAACAGGCTTGGTTTGGTTTATTATGTGCCAGGCACTTCGCATACACTATCTCGTCAACTCCTCAGAAAAAAACATTTTACAGAAGAAGAAACTGAGGTTCAGACAGAATGAGTGACCTGCCCAACATCACACTGCTGGTGAACGGCAGAGGTGAGGTTCAGACACACCCCTGCCCTCCTCTTTCCCCCTTGCTGCCTTTCCTCTCTGGCTAGAGGACAAATGGCCTGGGTTCCACAGACCCTTTACCCTCTCTGAAAGACTTTGGAAAGTTGTCTTTAAGAAAAATCCCAGAAAAAGATGTAGAAGTCCTGGGTCTTTGCAGGTCCTTTCACATCCCTCATTCCATTATGGGTGCAGAGGGAATGATCTTGGGGAATGTGGCTGACACACACACTCACACAGTCACACACAGTCACATACTCTGACACAATCACACACACTTGTATATACTCACACACATGCACTCACACACACACTCACAAAGCACTGACACACTCATATGCATGCAGGCACATGTACACACACACACACACTCATACTCACATGCATTTACACGCTCACAAGCATCCACCCTCCTAGCCCTGTGCTGAGAAGCCCAGCGCCTTGCTGTGCAGGGAAGCAGCCCCCCCACAGGCCAACCCATGCCCAACATCCCCCCACTATTCACTGAGCACACAGGAAAATGACCCTGGGCGCCAAGAGGAAGAAGCTAGGCCAGCAGAGAAAGAAAGTGCCAGAGAGAATAAAAGGACAGGAAAACCCTCCCGAGCTATCAAACGATGTTCAACCACACTCAGTGATTGTGTTCAGAACCACCCTCCTGTCCAAATTCTTTCCTCTTCTGACAGAAGAAACATAAAACTCTTTGCCCCGTCAAGTCGATTCCGACTCATAGTGACCCTAAAGGACAGAGTAGAACTGTCCCATAGGGTTTCCGAGGCTGCAAACCTTTATGGAGGCAGACTGCCACGCCTTTCTCCCACGGAGCAGCTGGTGGGTTTGAACCACTGATCTTTTGGTTAGCAGCCAAGTGCTTTAACCACTGTGCCACCAGGGCTCTGCAGGGGAGCACAAGCCCTGGCTTATTAGTGCTGCCACCTTGGTGAATGCTCCCCCACAGCCCCTTGGCAGCGTAGCCTTGGCCTGTGGAGGGCAGCCTTCCGGCTTGGGCAAAAGCACCCTGCTCTCTCCTTACAGCTCCGAAAATATCTCAAGTTTTATTCTGAGCTTCCTTCCCCCATCCCCTCCTAGGATGGCATCCTAAGCTCCTTCCTGTAACAGGGTTCTGGGGCAGGGTATTTTGTCCCCATCGCTCAGCCTAGAAGGAGGCTCTATCAGCTCGTGGATCACCTCTGTCCTCCAGGAGATATGGAGGATGGCGTAGGAGGACTGAGGCCAGAGCCTACATATTAGGTAAGCTGAGGCCCACGGTCAGACAGGGCCAGGCTTTCATGCAAACATGTCTGCCCTCCTCCTCTCCTACAAAAGACCATTCCCAAACACAGCAGGGTTTATTGAATCATTTTAATTCTAAGCACTTTATAGACATTACCCATTTAGTCTTTCAATAATTCACTCAGATAGTCATTATTATTATTTCTGTTATTATTATCCCCACTTTACAGATGAGAAAACTGAGATTTAGGCAGGTTAAGTAATTTACCTAGGTCGCTCAGCTAGTGAGGGGAAAAGCCTGGTTTCTAATCCAGTCTGTTCAATTCCCAAGTCCTTGTGTCTAAAAATACACTTTCTGGTCTCACAGCTCACCAGGGCTGCGTGCACAAAATGTAGAAGACACAGTTGTAGGGTCTTCTATCAGATTCTGGTAACTTCGGGCCACCATGAGGCAGTCTCCCTGGGTTGGGAAGGATAGGAGAGGGCTGTACTGACTGCTGAGCCTCAGAGAGTGTCCAAATATGAAATTATCACTAATACAGTGGGTTGGAGACAGAGCTGGGAATAAGACCTGTGTCCAGATACCTGATCCTGATTTTCTTCTCCACCCCAGCAGATCACTCACATCACACAACATCAACCGCTCTCAGGAAGAACAACAGCCCTCACAGGGAAGCCACACTACGGTCCCCATTGCAAACCCCCTCCCCGCCACAGCCAAAATAGAAAAAGGCTGCTTCCTTATTTTGTATTCTTATATAGAGACAGTGGCTTTGTTGTGTCTCACACAAATACACATAGACTGGTATATTTTTGCAATGTTTTCATTAAGCTGTCTCTATGTAATCTACACATCGGTCTGTACACATGTGGTGTCTTAACGGTACAAGTTCCCAAAAGGTGAGGGCATGGTGATATACACTAGGACTGGAACATGAGCGAGCTGGAAGGGGCCATCTGGTCAACCCCTCTTGTTGGGAAATAAAGAAATTGGAGAGGAGATAGGACCTACCCAGTGATACCCAGGTTGCCAGTGACAGAACTGGGACTAGAGCCCCCACCAGCTCCAGTGCCCAGAGCCAGATCTTCCCCTTCACAAGAGGCTTTAGGAGGTCGCTGATGGTGATGGGGCAATGATGACCACAATCACAGCAATGAAGGGAAGGAAGAGTCTTTCCTTCTGGTGTTTGCATCGCAGGGAGAGGATACTGGCTTGATCTAAGGGGCTGGTGTGTACGCACCTGTAGGGAATTGGGATCTCCCTTTAGAGGCAAGACAGTGAGCAAAGCAGGGGCGCTGTGGGTATGGGGCAGCCGCAGGGACACAAAGGAAGGAAAAGGAGACACGCAAACAAGAGAATGATTTCTCTGGTGGAACGATGGATGAGGGTTAAGACAGGGGACGCCAGCCTAGGGTACAGAGAAAAGGGGGAGAGATTTGACCAGCGACTGCTCCCAAAGTGAGAGACCAGTCTGGGGCTGGAACCCAGGAGCCCTGCACCCCTGCCCGACCCACCGTTCCCCCTGGGCTGCCTAGCCCGCCCCACGGCGACCAGGAACCAACACTGTATATGTCTTCTTCCCAAGTTGGAGGAAAAGATACCAAACAGAGAGAGCAAAGCTCCAGCCTCTAGGATCCCCCACATGTCCCACTTCCAAGGGCCTGATGGAGACTTACAGCCCCTTGCCTGGATTGCGGCCCCACCACCAAGCTCCAGCAGGACATCCACTCACCTCCATGAAGGGCACGGCCCGGCAAGAAACGTCACCCAGCAGCCTCTGCTTAGTGATCTCATTGAAGATGACAATAGGAAGGCAGAAAAAGAGGACCAGGAAGTCCCAGAGGGCCAGGCTCGCAAGGATGGAGTTCCAGGCGCTCTTCAGGTAGTAGCTGTGCCACACGATGCACATGACCGCCAGGTTGCCCACGATGCCCACAGCAAACACCACCAGGGCCAGGAGCATGATGGCATAGGCGCTGTAGGAGCTCTCCGTCACCGGGTACAGGGGGTTCTGGATCTGCAGCCTCCGGCCTGCCGTCCCCGTCAGGTTGCTCTGCGGTTCCTGCCCGCTGCCCAGGGTGCCCCCATCTTTGTCTGGGTTGGGGCTTGTGGCCACCAAGAGCTTGGTGGGCTGCAGGCCAGCAGGGTGGATGGGCTGGGGGTACTCAGCCCACTCCTCGGGCACATACTGCTGCACCCCCTTGGCCTCCTCATCCTCGGTGCCCCTCTTGGATCGCTTCTGCTGCTCCTGGGCCGCTGCTGGGTACCTGCTTAGCCCCGCAGTCGACACCGCAGCAAGAGAGACAGCCAGGGGCCACAGCCACTGCATGGCCGGACGAGCAGGAGGCAGCTGCCCCAGAGAGAGCAGGTGAAGGCTGGCGCCCGAGTGCTGGGCAGAAGCGAGAGCGGCAGCTGGCCTGTTGGTCTGCCTCCAGTCCAGCGTCTGGCGTCGCCTTCCCCATCCAGTGGACTCGAGTGCTCCCTCCCACCCTGCCGGCCATGGGCTGGGCAGGGCCCTCTGCTGGACACAGAGCACTCTTTACTGCCCTTACTCATCTCACCCTCCAGGACGCTCCTGCTCAGGCCCCCCAGGACCACAGCACAGCAGACCTGGGGCCCTCGGAGGCCACGTGCTCCAAGCCCCTGAAACCAAAGAGGGAAATCGGCTTGCCTAGGGTCACACATGAGTCCCTGGTGGTGCAAATGATTAACACCTCAGCTGTTAACCAAAAGGTTGGAGGTTCGAGTCCACTCAGAGGAGCCTCACAAGAAAGGTCTGGCAATCTACTTTGAAAAAAATCAACCGTTGAAAACTCTGTGGAACACAGTTCTACTCTGACACGCATGGGGTCATGAGTGGAGTCAACTTGATGGCAACCAACAGGGTCACACAGTGAGGTAGGGACAGACAGGAACTGAGGCCTAGGCCTGCTGACTCCGCCTGCAGGAGACAATTCTAAGGCAGTTCCCACTTTCGAAACCAGACAATAATGATCACCATCATTTATTGAACACTTAGTAGGTCCTGGCACCCAGCTAATTTCTGTTAACCCTCACAGCAGCTCAATGGGGTAAGTGTTACTACTACCACTGTTCAAATTAGGAAACAGGGTTGTAGGGGTTAGTCACTTGCCACATAGCTAATTCGTGGCAGAGCCAAGCCCGGGACCTGGCTCTAACTCCAGCCTGTGCCCTGAACTCAGTGCTGCTCTAAACAGGCAAAAGCCGTCTCCGGCCCATACAAGCTCCCCATGGAAAGCAGTAACAACCAGAATTTTAGAACCCCCTATTCTGACCCAGACACGGGATGGATGGACATTTGCAATAACAAATATTTACTGAGCACCTGTTATGTTCTAGATACTCAATATACAAACGTGTAAAAGGCAGACCTCTGCCACCAAGGAGCTCACCGTCTAGAGGAGGAAAACCAAAACCAAACCCGTTGCTGTCAAGATGATTCCAACTCATAGTGACCCTACAGGACAGAGCAGAACTGCCCCATAGGGTCTCCAAGGAGCAGCGGGTGGATTCGAACTGCTGACCTTTTGGTTAGCAGCCGAGCTCTTAACTACGACGCCACCAGGGCTCCAGCGGAGGAAAGAAACATGTAAATAAATCATCACAATTCAACCCGATAGCTGCTGTGAAAGGCAAGGGGCCCAGAGCCGAGGGAGCCCAGAGGAGCCAGAACTGTGGAAGACTTCCCACACGAGGAGTTGGCATTCAAATGGACCCTGAAAAACGGCTGTGAGTTTGCCAGCCAGACAAAGGGGGAGGAAGGGTGCTCCAGGCAGGACACTCAATCTGTACAAAGGCACAGAGATGTTCCCAATTCATGCCACAATATGGATGAACCTTGAAAACACTACGCTGAGTGAACTAAGGACAAATACTGTATGATCCCACTTATGTGAACTATCGAGAATGGGCAAGTATATAGAAACCAAAATTTATTAGTGGTTACCAGGGGCAGGCTGGAAGGAGGACTCGATGCGTAGAGGACACTGAGCTTCCGTTACGGGTGACAGAAGAATTCGGAAACAGTGATGGTTGAACAACATAATGAACACATTTGATGTCACTGAACTGTACATGTGAAGGTTGTAGAAAAGGCAGAAAATACAGTTACCACAATTTTTTTAAATTTAAAAAAAGAAAGTGTAATGAAAAGAAAAAGGCACAGAGGTGTAAATTGAGGGGAGGTACCAGAAAGGGAGCGAGCAGGTCCAGGGGGCTGGAACGCGGGGAGGGCAGAAGTGAATGTAGGAGTTTGGGGCGGGAAACTTGCAGAGGTCAGCAGACAAGGGGCCAGGAAGGATTTTGTATGCCAGGCTCAGGAACTGGATTTTCTTCTGAAGACAACAGAGAGTACTGAAAGCGGTTAAGCAGCAGAACAACGAGCAGACCAAGTTATTTTAGAGGGATCCCTGTTTGTCACGTGGGGGGATGACAGCCTGGAGTGGTAGGAGGCAGGGCAGGGGGACCTGCAGCAGCAGTCTGGAGGAGGAGAGAAGCCAGTTCAAGAAAAACCAGCAGGACTGAGTGGCGCTGGCTGTGCATGGGAGGGAGGGATCAAGGCTGACCCCCAGACGCTGGGTAGACAGTGAGTCCACCCCCTGTGCAGGAAAGATGAGGAGACCCTGGTGTGAGGGAGGAAGACAGACTCTGCTTTGCAGGTGCGGAGCTCCATGGCCCCATGGGTTACTCAGAGGGGAGGTGCAGGAAAGTGCTGCCCACAGCTCGACAGAAAGGCTAGAGCTGGGTGTGGAGACTGGGGGGGGGGGCTTCAGCACAGCGTGTGGTAGAGGTGAGTGTGGGTCATGCTGCTAGAGAGTGTATGGAGTGCACAGAGGCGAGGGTGCAGGGCCCTGTACTGGGCTGAATGGTGTCCTACCAAAATTCATGTTCTCCCAGAACCTAGGAATGTGACCTTATTTAGAAATAGGGTCTTTGCAAAGATAATCAAGCTGAGATCATATTGGCTTACGGTGGGCCCTAGATTCAACATGGCTGGTGTCCTTATAAGAAGAGGGCAATTTGGACAGAGACACAGGCACACAGGGGAGAAGACCACGTGAAGACAGAGGCAGAGACTGGAGTGATATTGCTACAAGCCAAAGAACGCCAAGGATTGCTGGCAACCACCAGAAGCTGGAAGAGGCAAGGAAGGATCTTCCGTAGAGCCTTCAGAGGAAGCACGGCCCTGCCGGCACCTTGATTTCAGACTTCTGGACTCCAGAACTGTGAAAAAATAAATTTCTGTTGTTTCAAGCCACCCAGTTTGTGGGACTTTGCTACAGCAACCTTGGGAAAATAATACAGAGCCCCCTACTCAGAGACAGCTCAAGGAAGGGGTGCTTACAAAGGAAATGCAATAAAAATAAGGAGAGGGCAGGTGACTGTGAGCCAGATCCTCAGAGGCTAGAAAAAGAGAAGAGAAATGGGACCTGGCTGGTCCCATTTATACTGTCAGTGAGTAAACATTAACAAAGGCCCCACAGGAAGTGGGACCCCCAAACTGGAAGCAACTTTCCTAGAAGACCTCCTGACTAGGAAAGCTACCATCCTGCCCAGAGGGGAGTCATACGCTGTAAAAATAGGAGTCCCAAGAAAAAAGGAGCAGAAGAGGAAGAAGATACAAAGAAGACTTGCATACCCTCAAACAAGGTAGGTGTTGTGGATTGAATTGTGTCCCCAAAAAAGATATGTTGAAGTCCTAACCCTTGGTACCTATGAACATGATTTTGTTTGGAAATAGGGTCTTTGAAGAGTGTATCAGTTAACATGAGGTCATATTGGTGTAGGGTGGTGTCTTAGGCTGGGTTCTCTAGAGAAGCAAAACCAGTGAAGCATCTATATATATGTAGAGAGAGAGAGAGAGGGATTTATATCAAGGAAATAGTTCACACAGTTGTAGAGGCTGGAAAGTCTCAAGTCTGTGGGTCAGGCTAGAGGCTTCTCCTGACTCAGGTAGCTGCAGGGGCTGATGAACCCAAGATCAGCAGGACAGCCAACAGGCCTCTGGCTTACAGGCTTCAGAGGCTGACAAATCCCAAGACTGGCAAGTAAGCTGCAAGCTAAAGTCCCAAGAACTGCAGGTCAGACCAACAGAAACCAAATGCAGGATCCAGAGCAAGCAAAAACCCAAGAGCCTTGCCAGAAAGTCCACCTATATTGGATGCAGGCCACACCCCCAAGGAAACTCCCTTTGGACTGACTGGCTGCTCACAGTGGATCCCATCATAGAGGTGATTCCATCATTATAGGACTGCCAAACTACATCATAACGGCCAAACCACTGAGAAGCATGGCCCAGTCAAGTTGACACACAACCTTAAATGATCACAGGTAGGTACTCCTCCAGCCATAAAAACCAAAACCAAACCAGTTGCCACTGAGTCAATGCCAACTCAGGGTAATCCCATGTGTCAGAGTAGAGCTGTGCTCCAAAGAGTTTTCATGGCTGTGACCTTTCTGATGCAGATTGCCGGGCCTTTCTCCCAAGGAGCAACTGGGTGGTTTCTAATTGCCAACCTTTCAGTTAGTAGCCAAGTGTTTAATTGTTTGTGCCACCAAGGAGGAAAAAAAACACAGAGATAGACAGAGGAAAGGTGGTCATGTGAAGATGCACCTACACACCAAGGAACGCCTGGGGGCTGCCAGAAGCTGGGAGAGACATGGAAGGATTTTCCCCCAGAGCCTTCGGAGAGAACATGGCCCTGCTGACACCCTGAATTTGGATTCCCAGCCTCCAGAACCGTGAAACAATAAATTTTTGTTCTCATAAGCCACCCAATTCCTGGTATTTTGTTAATGATATAGGGAACTGATGTATCAGGGAAGCACTTTTTAAAATTTTCTCTTTCTGGCTTCTTTCTGTTTGTTCTTTTTGTGGGGACAGGAAACACAGTTGGCTGCCGGACTGGGCTTACTGGGGTTTAGAGTGTCACAGAGGAGCTGCAGGGGTCAACCCAGAAGTCAGACAGATCAGCTGAGGACTTAACCGTCCCCCTCATTGCCATCTGGGTCACCCATGGTGGAGAGGAGAAGCCAGGACTCATACCTCCACCCCTGCATCATAGGAAGGGTTGGGAAAAGGACTGTAGGATCCAGCTCTCATCCTGAGCAGTATGTGGTCCATCCTGGGACATGTACTTCCCTAATCCCACTAGAGAACTGATGGCCAGACCAGATCCAGAGTGAGCCCAGTCCTTCCGTCCTCTAAATCCCATGGCACTTAGGCTGCTGTCATTGAAACTCACCAACTTCTGACTCGTGGTGTGGCTACTTGTGTAAAGATAGTCATCATCCTCCACACCATCACCCCCGTTGAGTACTCACCAAGCACCAGGCTCTGTGCCAAGTTATCGCACTTAATCTTTATATCATTATCCCCACTTACTGATCAAGATCAGAGAGGGAAAGTAACCTGCCCAAGGACACACAGCTAGTGAATGACAAAAAGAAAAAAGAAAAAAAAAAAAAACCAAACCCGTTGCCGTCAAGTTGATTC